AAACCCTTGACCCTGAACCTTAAACCCCAAACCTTAAACCCTAAACCCTGAAGGCCTGGAGTTTTGGGCTCCAAGCTCGCCAGCTTGAAAGTCTTGAGTCTCCAATATGGCTCTAGGAATTATCCAAGTTTTAGAGTTTTGGGTTTAGGGTTTAGAGTTTAAGGTTTAGGGCTTTGGGTCTAGGATTTAGGGTTTAGGGTTTAGGCTTTAGGGTTTAGGATTTAGGGCTTAGGGTTTAGGATTTAGGGTTTAGGGTTAGGGTTTTGGGTTTAGGGTGTAGGGCTCCCTTCTAGGTCGCACTTTGGGATAATGTTATTTTCCCCTGTTGTGGCTTAAGTTGGGACCCAGTTTATAGATAAGTTTTGGGTGCCTTCGAAGTCCCACCCAGTCTTCCTTGTCTAGTAATAGTAAGGGTAGTACATTCACAAACCCAAGTCATCGCCGAAACATTATTAACTTGAGAAGATGTAATAGTAGAAGTCGCAGCAGTGGTGCTAACGCTGACAGTCAGACTGCTTGAGTTGTTCTTTGTGCGGCTGGGTAATCCAGCTTCTAAGATAGAAGCCAGAGTAGTTGCCAATCTTTTTCCCCGTGTCATAAAGCCTGTAATCTGTTCAAATCTAGTTGTACTATGCACAGTTATACAGTATACACCCAAACCCTAGGCCTAAACCCTAAACCCATTCTAAGGCCCCTATACTTCCCTGGCTCAGGCCCAGACCGTAGCGTCTCAGACCTCATCAGCAGCACTCTGCCCACAACAGGGTTGCGACTAGTATTCGAAGTCGTTGATCCAGGTTTTAAAGAGGATTGTTGGGAGTTTAGGGTTTACGGTCTTGGGTTCAGGGTTTAATTGGGCATTGGATGCCTACGATTGCGTGAGTTGCAGAAGAGTAGTTGCTGTAACTTCTATAGGACTTCCATAACTTGCAGAGGTTGCAAAAGCGGCCTGTAGGAGACTAGCAATCTGAACCCCAAACCCAACACCTAAGCTGGGTTGCTGTATGTGTATAGTAAACAATATGCTTTCCCCAATCTAGTAACCCTAATACCTAAACCCTATACCCTATATTATAACCCCAAAATAGTAACATAAATTAAGTTCGTTAACAGCAACCCAGTAAGCCACGTAGTCCAACCCTGGAGTTGAGGCAGCGAAGGGCCAACGTCTCCACAGTACAAGGTCCCAAGCTCAGAATACATGGGGTTTAGGGTTTAGGGTTTAGGATGGTCAGGGAACTTAGTAAGTAGGTTGATAAGCCCCTATAACCCATATAGTAACGCCAGGTATCCCCCTTATTAACCTACTTACTAAGTCCCCCTGACCATCCTAGTAGCGTTAGTCGTTTTACTTCTTTTATTCTTGAGCTAAGCCGAGCACGGAAGCCCATGTTGCAGGTATTTCTTGGGAGAGTGCATTTCGGGTATGGCACGGTCTGCTTTTAAGGGAACTGGTTTCAACAGTGACGAATAGAGCAGGAGTGGGTTCATGATTCTGCGATTGGTGCTGCTTCAAGATAGGTCGCAATAGCATCCCCGATAGTAGAACGCACGCCTTATCCCGAGCACGTATTGCGAGTATCGTTGCTAGTGCGTATTGTTCCAATTCCAATTTTGCAGGTGCATGTTCTAGTACTTTGCTAGTGCTATTCTTGCACGGCGGCGGGGATGCATGCCGAAGCTCAGCAGAGACCCTGACCGAACCACAATCAATGGATAGTAATGGATGGACTGCAAGGGTATGCGGAGGGTGTTTGCCTTTCTTAGCCTTTTTTGGGGTAGGTTGGCATCCTGTCCCACATGCTGCGCAGGGAACTGTAATGAGCCAGGTTTTCCTCCCTTTTGGCTATTGAGTTGTGCACGCAGAGTCCGATGCAAGAGTGAGGTAACACAAGTTGCTTCTTGTGGGCGGATGTCAAAGATTCCATGCCGTCTATGCCAGGTCAAGTTCATTGGAAACACTGCTCAGAACGAAGGCGGACATACGACATACATCATCCAGGCGCCGCAATTCGTGCCTTGCAGGTTGAAAACGGGTTCTTGCTCTGTGCCTCGTGTCACTTGGGAGGTTGCTTGGGGCTGCCAGCCACTTTTGAGAGAGCCTGCCGCGAGAAAGCAACCCTATACGCTCAACCAAGTGGTGCATGTATGCATACAGTATATACTCAGGGTGCAAGGGGGTTCCCATGCAATCACTCTATGCTCAAGGTATACACCATATAGCCGCATGGACCCTCTGAGTTAGAGACTTAGGGCTGTGCTCCGGTTAGATCATGGGACAATTACGCCACACGTCAGTTATTGCTTAGGAGGACCCCCCACTCTGTAATAGTGACTATGATGGATAATAGGGATTATATTAGGGTCCTCTTATATTCCCATTATACCACTATTACAGGGTGGGGGGTCCTCCTAAGTTATTGCATGTTATTGCTACATGTGGAAGCCCTTCAGATCACACGCGCCTAATGTTGTGCCTGTGGCAGCCTCCGCTTGATTTGGGGACATCCTTTTTTTGCAGCATTCGTAAACAAGCCACAGTGGGTGGCATGTTCGCACAAAAGGGAGTATTACCCGCGTTAAAGGACCCTCAAAAACGGACGTACTGGTCTCTCTCGTATTCCAGTATAGCCAGTAACATGCTCCCAAATAAGCAACACATGTCCATTAATTCTCTCAGTGGCCTTGATTGCAGCTCATGTGAAGTGACTATATGACTTAAGGCCCTAAGCGCGGCCGGAGAAAAAAAATAGCTGAAGGAGCATTTGAAGAGTTGGCATGGCTCCGCGTCAGGTGACCCACGCAGATGGGTCAACGTGGAACTTGCAGAGGCCAGTGGATCTGTTTGGAGGAGTATTTGGGAATTTTATCCTTCTTT